TAATATACACAATTTATTTTGATTTACAGGTACCAGTATGAAAGCAGTGCTTCCTCTTCTGATAATGTTTCTTCAAGTATGGCAGTTTGCCTTGCAAATCAAAGTGACATGTATCAATCTTCCCTTTTACCTTCAAAAGGTAAAGTTCCCCTTTTGGTCCATTTAACTTCCTCTACATTACTTTTCTGTCTCAGTGGTAAAAGGAGATCAGAGCAACTAAAGCATAAACAAGCCTGTTTAACTGATAATTACAGATTAACAGAGTTGGAAGGGACCTTGTAGGTCATCTAGTTCAGCCCCACACCCAAGCAGGAGACCCTACCCCACTTCTGATGGATGGCAGTCCAATCTCTTCTTGAAAGCTTCCAGTGATGAAGCTCCCACAACTTCTGAAGGCAACTTCTGTTCCACGGGTTGATTGTTCTCACTGTCAGAAAATCCCTCCTTATTTCCAGGTTGAATCTCTCCTTGTTCAATTTCTATCCATTATTCCTTACCTGGCCTTCAGGTGCTTTGGAAAATAGCTTGACTCCTTCCTCTCTGTGGCAGTCTCTCAAATATTGGAAGACTGCTCCAATGTCTCCCCTGCAGTGGTGGGATTCAAAATTATTTACTACCGGTTCTGTGGGCATGGCTTGGTGGGTATGGCATGGCTTGGTAGGCCCTAACCCTAACCCCAACCCTAACCATTCTTCATATGTTTTAGCCTCCAGTCCCCTAATCGTCTTGGTTGCTCTTCTCTGCACTTTTTCTAGAGTCTCAACATCTTTTTTATAATGTTTTATATAGTGTTTAGATACTGTTTTATACTGTATAGTATTAATCAACACTAGTCCAGTTGAGTTTAATGGTTGTTAACATTAGGTTTCCTGGATCTTCTGTGACATCATAGCAAGTCAACCAATAGCTGTAGGAGAAGTAAAGACAGAGCCCAGAGGTGGAGTCAAGAGAGGGCTCAGCCTAAAATTATTATGTGTTCACAAATGCTCCAAGTCCAGCCCCTCTTGAACTCCATTAACTCTAGTGCAATTTGAGTGCTAGTTGACTAGATTCTTGTGTGTAAGCTTGATCAATAAATCTTCTTAACTGGAACTTAACTCTTTCTTTGTGCCTGAACAATAGCAGGTAGAATGGTCATTCATGCCATCATAGCAAGGAAGCCAATAGTAGCCAGATGACAGGTAGTCCTCAACTTACAACTGCAATGGAGCCCAAAATTCTGTTGCTAAGTGAGTTAAGTGAATTTTGCCCCGCTTTATGATCTTTCTTGCCACCATTATACAGTGAATCGCTGCAGTTGTCAAGTTTTTAAACATGTTTTTAAGGAGTCTGGGTCCCCCATTGATTCTGCTTGTCAGAAGGTCACAAAAAGGGGTCGCATGATGCCGGGATACAGCAACTGTCGTAAAGATGCATCAGTTGCCAAGCCACTGAATTTGGATCATGGGGATGCCACAACAATCATGTGTGAAAAAACAATCTTAAGTTGCTTTTTTCATTGCTGTTGTAGTTTCGAACAGCCGCTAAACAAACTGTTGTAAGGGTTGTGGCCTGCCAGCAGCCAGCAGAGCTGGCAGCAGATTCAGACAGTGAGGAGGTTGGGGAGGAAGATGGGCCAGTCCTGGAGCCCTGAGTCCCTCCGGGAATAGGGCGGCATACAAGTCTAATAAATGGAAATGGAAATGGAATGGAGTCTGGGGAAGGCTCTGATGAGGGCTCTGTGTCGGAGGCAGAGAGGAGGCCACAGACGTCGGCCAGTTATCAGCTTCCTTCAGAGTCAGATATCAGTGAGGCAGACGAACAGCTGGAGCCTGTTCCCAGTGTGCGCATGTGCAGAGTTGCCAGACGAAGGGAACAGCTAAGGAACAGGAATCGGGGAGTAAGGCCACAGGTGGACGATGAATAGCCCCACCCAGAGGAAATAAAAGAGGAGCGAAAGGGGAATGGAGTTTGCAGGAGACAATTAGTTCGCTTAATTGGTTTGTTACTTTCTGAGACTCCTTGCCAAGTACTGCAGATATCGGCCTGACAGCTCTCCAAGCCAGATAAGGTCTGTGACTGTAAATCCTCCCTCGAAAGATTTCGCTGGATGTGAATGAGCAAAATTCACAGTTGATTAATAGTTGGTTTTTTGTCGGGACCAGGAGTTGCTTCATGCTCTTGGGAAGTTGCTTCATGCTCTTGGGAAGCCTTGGTCAAAACAATAAGTTGAGGACTATCTGTGTACAAACAAACAAAGAAAGTACAATATACTGTGTAAACAACTGTGCATCTATTTCCTTATTGATCAATGAAAAGCATCAACAGTCTTGCTTCTATGAACATCCCCCTCGCACAGTTTTCGGTTTATTGTTTCTGCTTCTTTCTTGCCCTTTTTAGAATGTGAGGAACAAGAAGGATCTTTGATGTGGGTCTCTGTGCTGATAGGAAACATCATACGAGGAATAGGCGAAGCTCCCATCGCACCTTTAGGCATCTCCTACGTAGAAGATTTTGCAAGAGCAGAGAATTCTCCATTCTACATAGGTAAGCCTGCAAATGTCCGCATATCATATTTTTAACCTCCCCCCCCTTTTAAAAAAAAGACTTTTATAACCAAGGAGGAAGAAATTTGTAGTACCTAATCACAACTTCCAGCAGTCTCAGCCATCAAAGGATGCTGGGATTTTTTTACTTTAGCTACATCTGATGTAGTATATTTCCAGTGCAACCACAGTACTCAGAAGGAAATATAATTTATTTATACAGATAGATAGTCCTTGAGTTATGAGGGCAGTTGGAAGTGGAATTTCTATTGTTAAGTGATGCAATCATAAAGCGTGCTGTCTTACCGACAACAAACCCCCATTGTTGTTGTTAAACAGTAATTGTGGGTCATTAAGCAGGACCTCATGTGATTCTCATGTGATTCTTCCTGCCACTTCCAATAAGCAAAGTCAGTGGGGAAGCTGGAAGGAAATCGTAAGTCACAGTCATGGAAACACTGTTGTGGCCTGTTGGCCCCTGGCCCCTCCAGCAGCTGAATCAGAGGAGGTGGCGTGGGAGTCAGGGTCAGCATCAAGGAAACCTGAGAGCTCCAAGGGGGAAGAGGGAATGGAGCTGGCAGAGAGAGAGAGAGAGACAGAGAGAGAGACAGAGAGAGAGACAGAGAGAGAGAGAGAGAGACAGAGACAGAGAGAGACACAGACACAGACACAGACACAGACACAGACAGAGAGACAGAGACAGAGACAGAGACAGAGACAGAGACAGACAGAGGTGGAGTCTGGGCCATCTGTCAGTCCTCAGATGGAGAGTCAACACCCTTAGGTCTAGTGGTGGCTGATGAGGAAGAGGAGGAACAGCTGGGTCCAGTGTCTGACATGCGAATGCGCAGAAGGCAGAGGAGAGGAGAGGAGAGCAATGGAAATCCATGGGCTGATCCTTGGGAAGGAAGAGCCACTGTTGCTAATTAAGCCCCACCCTAGCTCTGGGGATAAAAGGCAGGGGGCAGAGATGAGTAGATGTGGCAGACAATTATTTATCTTCCAGCCTGATGGACATCATTGAGAGAGAAACTTTTTGCCAGGGCTGCTGGTGCTCCTAATAGATGAATCTTTGAGTTCAGTTCAGAGGATTTGTTGTGTTTGGGGAACTGCATCAGAACAGACACTTTCCTTAGCCCTCTCTAAGCAGTTTACAGAGTCAGCCTATTGCCCCCTAACAATCTGGGTCCTCATTTTACCCACCTCAGAAAGACAGAAGACTGAATTAACCTTGAGCCTGGTGGGATTTGAACTGCCAAATTGCAGGCAGCCAGCAGTCAGCAGAAGCGGCCTGCAGTGCACCAGTGCTCTAACCACTGCACCACCGAGATACTTTGTTAGAACGCAGAAAACTGTATTCTGACATTGCAGTGCCAGCTAGGCTGCTTATGTACATGTCTGCAATGGACTATTTTAACATGTTCGAATCCTTTCCACTCCTTTAGGCTGTCTGCAAATAGCAACTGTCTTGGGGCCTTTACTTGGTTTAATGATTGGCTCCTATTGTGCGCAATTGTACGTGGATATTGGATTCATCAACCTGGGTAAGGCAATTGGTCAGCAAAATCTGTAAGCATTAATCCCTAGAAAAACGCATTCCATGCATGCCATTCTGACTTTTCCAATGTTGGAGTGTTAGTTAGTCTTTAAAACCAGTTGTTACAGTGACTATTTTCACTTTGCTTTGTCATGTATGGAAATAATCAGCGGCCTGATTATTAAGGTCAACATGAGTCATTATGGATGCATCACTGACCTTGGACAGTGACATCATGACACTGAAAATGGCGGATTTTGACCTTTACAGGTTGGCTTTCCTGACAATTTGAATCCCAAACCTAATTCTTTCCATGTTGGCTAGAAAGGATAAGAGTTGATGTTCCCCTAAACATGTGGAGAGCAGCATCACTCTGATATATGGCAAAGCTACGTAATTATTATGTACCGTGTTTCCCCCAAAGTAAGACAGGGACTTATTTTCTTTTGACCCCTGAAATAAGCGCTTGGCCTTATTTTTGGGGAAG